ATTTTAAGGAGGATAGATTGTAGCGCCCCGTTCGATTTATAGATTTCTTGGATTATTCTATTTATCGAATTATATTCATAAGATTTGATTTATTGTATTAGTCTCGAGGTCGACTTAAATTTTATGTTGAAGTACACGTTCGTCGTTCGGCGATTTCGATTTAATCGCGTAATTCGAATCTAAGCCATTCGTTTATGGATTTTTCGGATATTTTTGGTATTATTAATGTAATTATTTATTGTTTGATTATATATATTATTATTATTGTGTGTAAAATAAATATATATATTGCCAGATTTATTTATTTAATGTTTTCAGTTGTCGTATGTATTTTCTGAGCGTTAAGTATATGTAGTCGGATTTAAATTGAGCCCGAACCGCCCCAAAACCCGACAACCCGAACCCGCTACCCGTAACCCCTTTGGCTTGGTGACCAAGTTTTGGACTTAGGTTTATTTTTTATCTGGATCCTTTTCTCTCTTCTGACGTAACTCGCGCAGCTTTTCTCTTCTCCTTCTCGCGATAGAAATCTCTCGATCATCACCCTCAAATCCCAGACAAACAGATTTAACGAACTTGAGATTTTTCTACTATTTTACATTCGTTTTGTTCGTGGTACAATTGCATCAAATACGGGCAAATCAGATTCAAGCCTCTCGATCATACGAATAGAGCCATCAGCCCGAAGCACCGAAGAATCGAAAACTCCCTCGAAACCCCTCAGCTGCGAATCTCCCTCCCCGTTCACGCGTTATCCAACTGACCGCCCTTCGTCATCGCCGGGCCACGAGCGAACCACCACGGACAGCAGCTGCGAGCCGAGTCGAGCCCCTGTTCGGGCCTGTTTAACCACCACGAGCCCTAAGAACAGCAACCCCATGGCTCGCGAGACCAGCCCGCCAAGCCTCGTCCATTCACCACCTATCATCCCGCGAATAAGACGATCGAATAGCAGCGAGCGGACCCCGAGAATTCAGTATCGAGAAAACGGGTGGCCAACCAACCTCTGCCCATCAGATTTAGCGGCCCTCCTTTCCGACGACCTGTAGTAACCGTATCACACGCAGCAATGGCCGAGTGCCGCACGCCACCGCACGTAAGGAGGAAGCCCAACCGAGAGCCGCCAACCGAAGAACAACAACACTTTGGGGATTCAGGCTGGGCGACGCGTGCAGCCGTCGCGAGCCTTTCTTCTCGCCGGCATCTCGCAGCAGCCGTCGCGAGAGACCAGACATCATTCGCATCGCCGCACGCAGCAACGGCCGAACGTCCGGCCACTGTGCGCCCTCAACCACCGAACGCCGTCATTGAGCTAAATCCGCAAATGGCCGTCTCTGCCACTGTTCCGCCTCTTGCCGGGCCAAGGGTAATGTTGCAAGATTTAATTGGGGTTGGTACAGACGTATTCGCATGGCTGAGAATTTTACAAGAAGAAATTGAAATTGAGATTGATTGTGGTGAGATTTTAATTGGGGATCTGTAATTGGGAGAGGGAGAAAGAAGGGAAACAAAGGGAGAAGAGAAAAAGAAGAGAGGGAAAGGAAAATAAAAGGGGAAGAAAAGAAAAAGGAAAAAGAAAATGGAAAATAAGGATTTTGGGCCTTAGTTTAAATTCTTAGGCCTTGGTGACATTTTTTGGCCTTAAGTGTGTGATGGGCCCAATAAATTTTATGGACTGAAATTAGAAAGGAATAAATGGATTTAGCATTGGACATTGGAAGGAGCATTGACCGACCGCCGAGTGCACCATGTCCAGCCCTTGCCCCATTTTCTCGTTTCCCCTTTGAAGTACGGTGTTTGAGGACTCAAGCCTCGACCTACGTCACTGCTTGTTGTGTTTTTGTCATTCCGAAATACCAGGTGAGTTTGTTATTCTAAAATTCTCTATGCCATGCGTGTTTTAAGTGTTTTGGTTGGTATGATCAATGTATGTATTTGAACCATGTGGCCTACTGATGTGAGTTGTTACGGTTGTTCCCGTCGAGTTACAGTACGGTTGCCCTTGCGAAGCAAGTCTCCGTAAGACCTAATGAAAGGCCGTGTCCTTGTGTGGCACGCACTCCCGCCGTTAGGTTTATGCATCCCCTTTCCTCTGCTAATGATAGATGTGCACATGAGTGAGTCATTGTTATATTGACAGGAGATGAGACATGATTATGATTGATTTATATTCATACTGTGACCATACCATTTTATCATGTTATATTATGTGCATAGTGGTGAGCCCTACATTTTCCAATTGTCTCACTCCCACCTGCTCTTCACGGATGCATGTTAAGCAGGTGACGGATGACGAGGCAAGACGAGTGGGTGGTCATTTATTGTTATTGTAGCTTCTGCAGTTTATGAACCTTAAGTTTGAGATTATTGGACATGTTGGTTGATTTCAAATTTGACTTTGACAATGTTGGATTTGGTTTGTTTGAAACCCCTCTATTTGGATATTCATAAGTATGTGTTTATTTACATATCATGTTACTTAGGTTATTCATGCTGTTATGTTTGAGCTGAATAACAGGTGAGATATGTTGTGAAATCGGTTAATGAAAACCATATGTGAAAACCGGGTTTATGAATCCCCGTGCGTCCAGATAAGACTTGGACTCTGTGAATATTGTTGATTAATGCCCATGATTTCGATAAAGAATTTCAAAAATGTATTATTGATTTTTGGAAAGTTCGGAATTTCTTTAAAATCAAAGTGGGGCGTGACAATCGACATAAGAAATTTTTTGAGACAATGGTCTTCACATGAAGTTTCATATATTTTTAGATGGATCGCCATAAGTTGAATTGTCGTTTGTCGTAAAATTTCTTGTTTTACCAATTCCTCTTGTCTCAGTACCGTATAGGTGTGGCGACTACTTTAGAAGTACACGCAAAGTACATCGATCGTGCTAAAAATACAAGTTAAAGTGCATCGATCGTGCTGGAATTGCAAAGTCGTCATGAAATACCCACAAACGTTTTATAAAACAAATTTGTTTGGGTGTGATGAAAAATAGATTACTTTTTCTTATCTATACATGTCTACGAAATGAATAGCTTTGCCTATCCATTACAAGTGTATTACTTCCAGAGGGGAAATCTTTGTTGCTGGAATTTGGCGCCAGTTGGACTCGTCTTCTTTTGCTTTAGTAAGTGTTGATTGGCTAGTCAACTTTGGCCGATGCGCCCTTAGTGGGATGATATTTTACCAAATTGTTCTTTGGAGCCTCTTTGCACAGATCAACTTTATTTGTGCTGATCTGGCAACTTTTTGTCAGTCTCCGGGCTGCTTGTGGTCTCGGCTAACCTTGTCAGATGAGATTGACCCGAGGAGAGAGATTACTCCATGGGATGTGACTTGGCCTAGCCCACGTGCGTCTAGAGACAACCTAGCTGAAAGATCTAGGCTTCATATTGTAATTATTAAAAACAGCGAGTGACCGCTCTACAATTACAGGTTGACCGCGGAGTTGATGATTTATAGGACCTAAGGATAAGATCTAGGAAGAAATCTTTCAGATTCACCCTTAGGACCCCGGTTGTTTAGGAAGCCCTTGTTACTCTAGATCGACGACTCCCACATTTCAACGTTCTTGTCGAGGGTGAGCTAGTCGATCTAAATTCTTATCGAAGGTGGTGGACTAATATAGGCCTTGACGTGAGGTCAGAGATTTGAATTTGATATGATGGGAAGATAAGAAAATGTGATATTTAGAGATTTTTTGGGAGTTCGATTTAGCCAGCACAACATTATGATACGAACAAGAAAAGGGTCGACTAGACCAGCATTTCCTTAAGAAGGCGGGTCGGTCGTGTCACCCTTTCTGTGAAGGTAAGAGATGCCATGAAAGGATGTTGAAGGCGGCGTTTGGGCCTGAAAATAAAAAGATACAGGGTATGACTATTTATAAGGAGGGATTTAGAGGTAACCCTTGATGGTCACCCTCCTTCTAGCGCTATTTTGTGACGTTCGATAACCAACGGTTTCTGGTTAAGTGTTAATGGGCAGTTTAATCAACGGTTACAAATTAATTGATATAAGCAATGGATTAAGGAAGAACCGTAATATAGCCAAAACTGAAAAGGAAAATACGGAATATAAAAAGACACTAGTTTTGTCGATATTTAGGTGAGATCGACAAGAAGAGTAGAACTCTCCGAGAAAATGTATTGAGAGTGTGTATAGAGTTTTCATATGATCAATGTTGTATGTTCTGATTGTTGGTGTCTTGTGACAGGCAGGTGTGGTCGTATTTATACACGAAAAAGTTAGTTAAGGTTGTAGGGTTTCTTCGCATGTCTGTATGCAAAATCTCGACTTCTGATGATGGAACAGGTTGGGTAGTTGCTTTACTAGTATGCTTTAGTGATTCTGCATTCACACAAGGGAGATCGTCATTCTTCCATTGGAAGATACAAGGCGGGATCGACATCTTTGAGGGATCGACTGTCTTCGAGTTGGGAGATCGGCATAACTTGCCAATGATGTTTTTTGGGTGGCTTCCTTCTTTAGTTCATAGGCCTAATGGAAAAAATTTTCTTTGATATCCATTCTATCCAATCTGAATGAGCCAACTTTAGATTCCATATGAATTTTTATGTACAATACTACACAAATCAAATTTTTAATCATAAAAGATCAATCAAAACTGGTAAAATTCAATTTTCCAAAACTTTCTAACAGCAATGCAAACAAAAAAGATAAAAAGTAACAAATGAAGTATCCAATTTCATGTAGGTGGAATAATAGCAGCAACGAGAGTTTCAACAAATTATTCTATCACAACGGGTCGACGTCCAACCCTTGGATGATGCCGTTTATTTAGACTGTCATGACAAAAATAAAAGAAAGGAAAAAACAAAGACAATTACTAAAAAAAACAAAAGCCAGAACAAGAAGTTATAGCAGAAACTAAAAAGTTAGACTGCCTATAAGAATTATCAAATCACTCTCTATATTTCTATTTCTTATTGGAAAATTGCACTTTTGTCTCTTATTTCCATAAATGTTAATGTCCTCAAACTGTGTAGTTTTGGTTAATGGTCTCCACATCCAGGCCCTTAAGCTTCACAACTGCTTCAACGTGCCCCTTCAGAGTGTGTATCTCCCTCATCCTGACATTT